GTAAAGTCCCTCTATTTCATGAATTATTTCGTCTTGCATTCAGTATTTTGTTTATATTTTATTTTAATTTACATGAGATGTAGATTTTTTTTATCTGGCGTGATTGATTTCAATCTCGCGGGATTTCAAACAGTAACATCAAGAAAAGTTCACCAAAACACACACAATACATGCATACATATATATATATATATATATATATATATATATATATATATATATATTAGCTATTAAAAAAATGTGGTGTACATCTCATTGGAGATTGCGTCTTCTCTGGGACGTACGTTTTGTCAAATCGGATTTTACAGTTACTTGATCGATTAAAACATTTCTTTTCTTTATTCTTTTTTTTTTCCTTGTTTTATTGGGGGGGTATTTTTCCCCCTCTTTTATCTCCCGTCCAAAGCTGTTCGAATCACTTCTTTTTACAGACTAGTTAATTGATAACAACGACGCCATTGCTGTCTACACAATAGGGCGTGTCATGAACATTTTGCTCTGTGTTTGTTGTACGCATCCCCACAGTCAGCTTCGAAATCATATAACCCGCCTTCGGGTAACATCAATAAGTAAAACATATTAAAAGAGCTCAATATAGCCTGATGTTTGTAATTGGATCGTTACGACTGGTATCCCTATCTTTATTGTTTCGATCACTTCTTTAAATCTTATGATTTTCCAGGACTGGGACGACCATGACTAACCAGTTCGCTTTTTTTTATTTTCTACTAGCAGCATAGCCCGGCGTTGCCCATGCTTGACTCAAAAATCGTACGACTCAATCGCTATCACTTGACTTAAAATATTTTTGCCCTTCCTTGCCTTTAAAGGAGTGCCCTTTGCCGTGCTGATGTTGCTACATGCCTTACTTCTTGCCTATCTCACACTGCGTTATTGAATTGAATAGACCACGTGACCATAGAGGAAACTCATATGTAGGGAGTAGCTGACGACTATTTCTAGTCTATCCTCTATACTATACGGTCCGCTATTCTCTACTCTATTCACTATACTAATTCTCTATTCGGATCGCTATACGGGTGACTATTTCGAGCGAGTATTATTGAGTATTAGAGCGAGTGATATTCGAAGACGTCTAACACCAGGACTGTTCAACGTAAGTCTGTGATAATGCTTTTCTATGGCAAAAAGCATTTGCGTTGCTTTTCCATCGTTAATTAACTGCAAATTATTAGCTGTACAAACATATTACTACTACTGTACTGATGCGGCATTCACCCTGGGCGGATTGAGCCGACTTCTTCCTGTTATGAGATTACAGAAGTAGGGTACCCAGGCCTACTCGGATAACGTTCTTGCTTGCCGCGGGGTTCCCACAGACGCAGAGACAGGAACGACCAGAAGCCACCGGTTACCGATGCAGACGCTCCTTGGATTTTCACCAGAGCCCTTGTTAGCCGGCGTGTGTGTCAGACCTGTCCGCCTTGGGTGGCCCTACCAGGAACGAAGTTCCGGGCGGCATAGCTCTGACACTACCGTTTACACCCCCCCACCGACTGTGAGGTAAGGGTTGGACTTTGGGGGCTTACAGTACCAGGTGTTCCCAAGCGGTCCCCCATCTAAGTACTGATCTGGCTCTACGATGCTTAACTTCGGTGATCGAACGAGAACCGGTGTTTCAGCGTGATTTGACCCGTACAAACATATTCTTAATGATTTATTATTAAATCATTGACTGAGTCAACATGAATGCCAGCGAGTACATCCATGGCGGCGTTGACATGACATTAGTCCGTATGAAGCATTAACTTGTCATGAAATTACTTCTCACAAACTGTTGTATAGGAGTAAAAAAGTGTCGCTGACGACACTGTAATTTGAACATAGATCGCCAGAAAGCAAACACAGGTGTTCCCATTTGGATTAAGTAAATCACGATAGCAATAGCAAATAAATATATATATATATATATATATATATATATATATATATATATATATATATATATATATAGAATTCGCGTGACGCCTAATTGATCTCTATTTCTACTCTATTACTATACGATTCGTGATTCTTTTCTCTACGCTATCCCCTACTCTATTCCCTATACTATTTCTCTGTTCAGATCACCATTCGGTGTTTACTATTCGAGCGAATATTATCGAGCAAGTACTATTAGTGTGAGTGTTATTCGAAGGCGTCTGACACCAGTATTGTTCAACGGCGTTACTATTAGTTGTATCTGCGATTACAAAGTCTCTACTACAACGAGCATTACGAAAGTGACAACGAGTATTCGTTGACATTACAAAAGTGGCAACGAATGTTCGTTGATATCACAAAACAGGTCACGTCTGTGTTTACAGGTTGTGCGTTAACTTCAACGTCGAAGAATAAAAAAAATGCCGAAACTGTACTTATAAATGAAAGACAAAACAAATAGAAAACAGTGAAGACTTACGAAGCAGAGATCCAACTAAATTCACTTGTTTTGGGGATGGTTGATCTTGTCTCTTCCAGGAAAAACGAAACGGGCATACCATGAGCATTTCCTGATGGCGATGTTAATGACGTGTTGATATCGCTGTGAGCATCAATCCATAAAACGATGGGCGGTTCGTCTGTGCCCAGAATATTTCCATGGACGGAGCCAATCCCGAGGGAGTGATCACCACCCAGTACCAACACATTATGGCCTTTCTTCAGTTCTTCAGTTCAGAACGGCTGAGATGAATTCGCTTAGTTGTTAGGAGTTATCAATGTATAACAGATTACTAAGGAGTTATTAATGTATAATAGATTACTAAGGAGTTATTAATGTATAATAGCTTACTAAGGAGTTATCAATGCATAACAGATTACTAAGGAGTTATTAATGTCTAATAAATTACTAAGCTCCATACCAAAATATATTTTAAGTTAATCCGACACTGGTGACCCGCACGGCCATTTCATTGTTCTTAATCTTACCTTATTTTATTTATCTTTCTATCTTTTAACTCTATTTTCTTATATGACGTGTTGATATCGCTGTAGGCATCAATCCATAAAACTATGGGCGATTCGTCTGTGTCCAGAATATTTCTATGGACTACTAGGAATTCCTTCAACGAGTCTATTGGAATATTTTCCAATCAGTCCGAGGGCCCCAACTACAACGATAAAATTCTATTAGTGCGAGTATTATTCGAAGGTGTTACTATAAGTTGTATCTGCGATTACAAAGTCTCTACTACAACGCGCATTACGAAAGTGAATATTCATTGTCACTTTCCGCCATCTTGGATTCTTGGCTTCTATTGAAAAAACAGTTAAAGGAACATAACACTCTAACTTTCAATGGAGTATGTCACCTGAAATTTTAGGATTCCCAACTTTTCATTACTACGATTGTTTTCGTCAATTTTTTACGTGATTTTTACGACGAATCTTTTTATATGCTAACAATTTTATAACTTGAAAATAATTTTACGAATAATCGAAATTCATTGCGAAATACAGCGAAAGTCACCCATGAAATCAGTTAATTGTTTGTACGGAAAGTAAGGACCTACGTACATCATATTGTTGCCTATCGCATACGGCAGTAGTATACCTCGCAAAAAGAAATCTTCGCCAACAGAGGACCGGATTGCAATCATAAGAGTCAAGGCTGCAGTCCCGTGCAAATGAAAGCCCGCATCAAATGACGGCCAGGATAGTATCCAGTGCTAAGAATATGCAAAAACTTACCCTCTCAAACTCCTGAACAAGCTAAAGACCCAATCAAGAGCCCTCCACAGAATCTAGCTTAAATGCCGCTCGCTAGGGCGGCTTTTAAGCTAGTAGGTTATGAAT